AAACATGATAAACTCCTATTTGTTCACGTTAGCTGGCCATCAATACTCCCTGTTTGCCGGGGCAAGCCCAGGACTTTCCCCTCCCCACCTGTCAAACCTGGAGTGTGCTTTGGCACCCTGCCACCAGAGTCTCAACGACTTGAGCAGACTGCTTCAGAAACGAGACATCCCAGTACTTAAGCCACCTCTGTTTCATGAGCTTTTCTCCCCATCTGTCTGCTTTCTGAAGAAGAAAGTGTTTGCTGGTCGGAGAGGTTTTCCACTTGCGCCTCCTTCAGCTTTCCATTACGGCTCCGAGGTTATATGGGGTGCAGGGCTATACACTGTACTGTACTATATGCAGAGGTGTTCAGACTTAATTTATTCCCTTCTCCTGGATAAAGATTATTGCAGCTGTGTGTTTTGGAAAACTATCAATGAAGGGAGTTCAGCTCATACAACACACTTTCAATAGAGTACTGTACTCTATATTTCCAGGTTCTGTTTTAATTACACTTGCATATTACCTTGGAGGAAGCTGAAATCTGGAAAATGTTTTCTCATATACCATGTCTTAAACCTTCCTGACCTTCTGTTTTATACCAAATACTTTTATGTTTGTGATGAAAACCATATAATATGGGGCAAGCTCTGGCTATCCGGGATAATCTACCAGAGACACACTGTCAGCCCCTCCTAGCAAAGACTGAGCAATTCTCACTGAGAAATTGTCCCCATCATCCCTCACCCCACCACCTTCCAGCAGTCAATCCTTTTCCCTCCCTTCACTTGGCTCCCAACAAGAGCCATCGCAGTTGGCCCCGTGCTGTGAATAGGGCACGTAGCGGCCCTGTCCCATGGCAGTCAGAGGTTCCTGCTGCTCCAAAGAATCTTGAGGGACTGAGCCACAGGATGGCTCATGCACTGCCAGTGTACTGCCCATTCCCAGAGAAAGCAAGGAAAAGGCCCAGCCTCATTAGAGGGGCTCCCTCTAATGAGGCTGGGCCCTCCCAGCAGTGCCCTCCCACATCTTCCTAGAGCCTGGGGAGCCAGAGCAGCCCAGGAGCACTTGGGGTGCCTGCAGGGCTCCTGCTGGGCCAGGGCAGTGAGAACTGCTCTGGAGTGGCTGCACTGGGCACCACTGGAGAAAAAACAGCCCAGTGTCCAGAATTCAAACCCCCTCGAGACAGCTGGCACTGGGCAGGGAGAGCAGGGAACTTCAGCATGGCACGTGCCTTCTGCCAGGAATAAGCTGCTACAAGCAGGTTACAGAGGTGCCCTGGACTCACAGCAAGAGGTGCAAACCCCCATCAGCAATCCAAGAGCGTGGGCTTCTCAGGGCTGACAGCAGAACAAAATCTGTAGGAATCAGGCGTCTGGTCCAGAGCAGCTTTCAAATAACCTTTAAATCCCTGCCAAAGAGAGCACATCTTGATCTTCACATCCTCGGGATGTCTGGAGAATGTCCTGGTACAAAGGGTTTTACTGCACATGTATGAGCAGCAGAGGGTCCTGCCCAGCTCTTGAAGGCCAGCACTTCAGCATTCCAGAAGTACAGATTGCTGGCAGTGTCCTTCTATGGCTTCCCGAGGAGTTCTCTCCTCCTGGAGACCTGGGACAGTGGAGAACCATCCAGCCTGGGACACCGGGCTCTGCTCCAGGGCCTGACACTCCTGAGGTTCCACCTTCACTTGTCTCAAGGCCTCTTCCTAAAGCGCAAAGTAACTTTTACTTCATAATGAGTAACAGGAATTACATAAATCTTGTCAAGCGAGGGCTTTTTAGTGGCACTAAACTGCTTTTTAAACTCAGCTGTAAACAAGGATTTTCAACTATGAGGCAAGAACTTATAAAATGGAAAGTTTTTCATTAGAAAGCGGTGATTATGGAAAAGCAGGGTCGGTCATAATAGAAAGCTGAGTCTGAACTCCGAATGTGACGCTGGAGCTGAGAGGGAAAGCTGATCCCTGGACTATAAAGGTCAAAATCCAGTAAAAGTGGAAAGTTAGTAGTGCCTCTGTGGCATTGATGAGACTGTTACTGCAACATTAAATGAGTGCTGTTTACATACTAAAAGTATTTGGAGAAGTGAGACCCTAAAGAAAAAAAACTCAAGAAGAAAAAATCTGGCAAGGAAGGTGCAGAGCAAAAGCAGAATCAAGTCGATCAACCTCTTCCACAGAAAATAAGAGAAAAAAATTCATCACAGTCTGCACAGGTAGAACAATGCCCATGGGAGTAAGTTTTTTCATGTAGCAGACAAAGAAGCCAATTCAGTAATTCAAAGTGGAAACTGGACAGTGGGTAGAAATAGCTGCTTATTAAAAAATGAAGTGCTAATATTCCCAAAATTAGCTTAGAGCTGAATGCGGTAAGCTTTTTAAAACTTTCGGTCTTTAAATCACTCCTGGATCTCCCTTTCCAAATACTTAATACCCAGCTATTACACAGTGTCATTTAACTCCAAGGAACTTTAAAAATAGGCTTTAAAAAAAAAAAAATAGATGGGAAAATAGAGACCACATCAGACAGCTGTGCTCCTCTAACAGGACAGTGGCCAAGCCCTGGTAAGTCCTACTGGTTTGAGCCAGGAGGTCCCACTGTATTAGTTCACTCCAAGTTTTGGGCTTCATTGAGAACAGAAGAATGGTTTTACCAAGTCAGACCATGGATTCCATGAACACCATTTCCTACAGGGAACAGCAGATCCCTACAAAGAAAATAAGGACATGAGAAATATTCAGCAAGGTTTGCTCGGCACAGCTTCTGAGCTTCCAGCTACCAGGGGCTCAGAAGGTCCTGTGGCCTCATGGTCAGCAGCTTTTTATAGATTTTTCTTCATTTTTTTTAAACATACATGAATTTTAGCATCCCAACCCGGGTGTGCTCAGGAGTTCTGCAGCTGGGCTGCTCTGGGGGAATCAGTGTCTTTCTGCTTGCTTCAAACCTGTCCTGAACTGCCATCATTTGGTGCACTGTGGTTCTTGTCTGGGAGAAAACTTGCTCCCAGTTCACATCCCTAGCCCTCATCACTTTTCCTTCTTGACCCAGTCACCTCTCAATGAAGAGCTCCAGTCTAATTACTGCTCTTACTGTTCCCTATTTCCAGTCCTTCTTACTGCCCTTCTCCAGCTCTGCTGTATCCCAGAGTGTTGGAGTTGTGTCAGTCCCTGCAGTGCCTGCATATTGTTTTCTCATTTGTTCTCCCAGTCATTCCTAAAGTTGTGTTTGCCTCCCTGATTGCTCTGAAAACTGAGCTGACACTTCAGGGACTCGGATTTTTTTACCTGGGGTAAGCAGGGCTCATCAGGTCCAGTGATTCTCACTCTTCTTCCTGCCCTTGTCGCCTGTGAATTAAACTGCCATCCTTCAGCCACCTTAGGAGATTCAGTCGGTATCAACAGACCCATAATTTGCTTTTAATTGCCAGGTCAGCACAGTCGCCCTTTATAGTACTGAATTAAATTCCTTTTCTCCCGAGTCTCCCAAACCTCTGGAATTTCCCCAGAATTCCAAGATTTATTAAAAATCAGTAGGCTTATTGGTGCAGGTTAAATATTTTAAAACTGAGAACGCCAGCACATGCTCCTCATCACTTTCTTATCTTACTGGCATGGGGAATATTTCATTACTGTTGCAAGAAGTGAGTTATTTCTTATGGCTTTTTCTCTTACCAAAAAACATGGCAATGTTTTGGGAGACAGATAGCTCCACCGTGTTTTGAGATGAAGAGCAGGTTATTTTTCTAGACTTCCAAAGAAACAATTTGTGTTTAAAATTTCTATACCACTGAAAGATTCAATCTTATCCTTTCTGGAGCTTACTGAGCAAATGTTATTATGCTGCTGCCAGTAGCTCAAGTCCTTTCTTTTTCTCTCCTCTCCCCCTCCTCACTCTCAGTGTTTCTTGCCCACAGGACTCGTCCAGCAGCTGTTCTCACAATGAGAATTCCACCCAGGGAATGGCTGGAGCTGTGTCAGGGCAGGCTCAGGGTGGATCTCAGGGAAAGGTCCTTCCCCCAGAGGGTGGTTGGCACTGAACAGGCTTCCCAGGGCAGTGGGCACAGCCCCAAGGCTGCCAGAGCTCCAGGAGGGTTTGGATGATCCTCTGGGGCACAGAGGGGGACTCTTGGGAATGATCCTGTGCAGGGCCAGGGGTTGGACTGGATGATCCTTGTGAATCCCTTCCAACTCAGCGTGTTCTGTGATTTTGTAGAATGTGGAAGTGTTTAGTACAAGCCCTTCCTCGAGGTCAGATCAGCCACTCCCCAGAGGGCATGCAGGGGTAGGTGTCTGTCTCGGCCCTCCTGTGCAAGCTGCCCAGCTTCATATTGTAGGGTGCAGGCAGGAATGTGACTTTCCCAGTAGCAGTGGCAAACATGAGGAGTTTCCTCTCTTGGTGCCTCCAGCCAGGTGGAAGTGCAGCAGGCATAAGGCACGAGGCCCAAGCTCTCATCACCTTGGCAATTAAAAAAACCCAACAAAAACAGGGGCTGTTGTGTTTAACAGCAGCCTCTCCTCTCCTTTTTAACCCTAGACAGACCCAAATGCTGATCCCTGCTCCAGCAAGGAGGCTCATTTGGGACAATGTCCCTGGTGTCACTCACCAGCTCCTGCTCAGCACAGACACTTCGATTCACTCTGCCTGGGTCTGTCTCTTCCCTCTCACTATTGGGGAAGCTGCTTACTTTAGTGCTCTCAATCAGCTGCTGTGAAAAGCATCAAAATGCCAAAGTTAAGCACTTTTGTAAAGTCCGGAGCCACACGATCAGCCTCTTTAACCCCAGGCTGCTCGTGGCTTGGAGAAGAAAGACTGCTTGTGCCTATGGCACAGCAGTGACCTTTGTGATCCACCTGAAAGTCTTGTAAATGAAAGTCCCGCCTCACCATCCCGACTCAGGTTTCCCAGCTTGGTTGCTTTGGACTTCCCACAGCAGCACACATGGCCACAGTCAGTGTTGTGCTGAAGCTACTGCTGTTCCTGGCTGTTCAATGCCACTCTAAGAAGGTATTTGCCTTTGCTGAGCTTCAGAAATATTGCACCAGCAAAGGTGTGTCAAACACGACCAGGGCAGGGACCATCGCTCTGTGCTGGGCACTGGTGAGGCCACTGCTCAAATCCCTCATGACAAGAAAGGCATGGAGGGGCTGGAGCGTGTGCAGGGAAGGGAAGGGAGCTGGGAAGGGGCTGGAGCAGCAGGAGCAGCTGAGGGAGCTGAGGGGGCTCAGCCTGGAGAAAAGGAGGCTCAGGGGGGACCTTCTGGCTCTGCAAGTCCCTGACAGGAGGGGGGAGCCGGGGGGGGTCGGGCTCTGCTCCCAGGGAACAAGGACACAGGACAAGAGAAAATAGCCTCAAGAAAATTCCCTCAAGGGAATATTAGGGAAAATTTCTTCATGGAAAGGGTGGTCAGGCACTGGCACAGGCTGTCCAGGGCAGCAGTGGAGTCACCATCCCTGGAGGTATTCTATTTTTTTAATACCATGTTTAGTGGTGAACCTGGCAGTGCTGGATCTTGGAGGTCTTTTCCAACCTTAACTTTTCTGTGATTCCATAATTCAGCAGCCTGCTCTTGCTCAAAGCCTTTGACAGCATCTGGGCCAGAGGTCTGAGGAAGGCCTGAAAGCCACTAGCATGAGAAGGACAGGCAAGGGGAAGGAAAGAATTACTTGCACCAGCTCCTCAGAAAAAGTTGGGTTTTTTTCATAGTAGGCATATTGACAGTCACAGAATCATTTAGGTTGGAAAAGACCTCTGAGATCATCGACTCCAACTTGTGACCATCCCCACTTTGTCCCCCAGCCCAGAGCACTGAGTGCCACCTCCAGTCGTTCCTTGGATACCTCCAGGGGTGGGGACTCCACCACCTCCCTGGGCAGCCCCTTCCAGTGCCTGACAGCCCTTTTCCTTGAAGAAATTCTTCCTGATTTCCAAGCCGAACTTCCCCTGGCACAGCCTGAGTCCATGCCCTCCTCCTCCTCCTCCTCCTCCTCCTCCTCCTCCTCCTCCTGCCGGGGTAGTGTGCTTCTCCCCGCGCTGCCATTTAGCCCTTTATCCTCCCCGCTGGGTTCCTGTAACCCGAGCACCGGCCCTAGGAGTTAATGACTTCTTTGCCATCTGAAGTTTATGAGTCTTATTGCACCTCTGCAGAAAGGAGAGCTCTGGGGAAGATCTCCCTCCCCTCCTCTCAGCGCGGGGAAGGACCCAAGTTGCCTCTCTTTCAATAGTTCTGGAGAAAGCTTAGTGTTTTGAAGGCGTTTGCATGAGGAAAGTGAAATGCGCCTGGGTTTATCAGTTAAATGCTTATTTCTGATTTTTACCTACGATCAACGGCATTGTGTAAAAACAGGCAGGTGGAAACTGGATGTGCAGAAACAAGCAATACCTTCCTTTTCATTCAATTTGATTAGTTTAATGGCATTTTTCTGGCAGTGTGATGAGCAGAGGCTGCTCAGCCTGGATTCCTGGATGGCAAAGCGTGGCTCAAGATATTATATCAAAGAGATTCTTGGAGGAAAAATGGTGAAAAGAGCATTTTCTGCCCCCTAGCAGAGGGTCAGCCAATTAATCACTGTTATTGTTAACAGAGTCATTTTTCCTTGACAGCTGTGCCCTTCAAAATGACATCAGGGGAAACTGAATCCATTTGCATTTCTTCAGATGGCCAAATCATTGCAGAAAGTTGAAACTACTTGTGAAAAATAACAACCAGGAAAACAGGGACAATCAGTGAACTTGAAATGACAGAATAAACGAGGTATTCTGAGCACTCAGCAAAGTGCATTTACTGCTCTGTATTTACTAGTTTTTTTTTTTTTAAAAAAAGTTAAGATTGTTGTTTATTAAATTTGTTGAGAAGCAATGAAATCTCCTGCAATTTTATTTTTAAATATCATTTTACTACCCAACAGCAACAGTAAATCCATAAAATAACACATGATTGACCAGGACTATGGAGTTAAAAAAAAATATTGTTTGCTTTGTACATTCTTATTAGTCTTGGCTAAGATGTTATAAAAGCAGTATCTTTTAACACCTTTTATTATACAAGGGTCAAGGGGTTTTTATGTTTCTTAAAGAAAGCTTCAAATAGCCCACATAGCGGGTTCCTGCATCTTTCATATGGCTGCTGTATAAACAAGCCCATTTTACACAGGAAATGACATAACCATGTAAAAGTGTACATGGAGTTTAGGCACATATTCAAACACTAATGGGAATGCATTGTTTTCAATGGCATACTTTTATGTTTACCTATTGAGCTTAGTGCCCATATTTTAGCCAAACACAACAAAAATTATCCACACATACCTGTCTTATAGTGTACTGTTTATTTGAAATTTGGACCTTCACAAAGACTCCCGTGGGACAGATAATGACCCTAGAAAGTAAATACAAATGAGGCATTCTCAGTGAGAGAGTGAAACCTGCCATCATAAAGGTGGAAAGCTGAACTTTTAACCTGTATTGCTTTACAGCTCAGGTTTCTCTGCCTTTCTGCCATCCAGTCGCTCACACCGACTCACCCACGGGAAGAAAGCCGTAACAAGAATTTAGGGTGTCTATCTTTGCACGTTATATAATGACCAGGCTGAAGAAAGTAGTGCCCAACTCCTGCAGTCATGGAACCACAGAAAAGGTTGGAAAAGGCCTCCAGGATCACCAAGTCCAACCTCTGACCGAGTACCACCACGTGCCCTAAGCCACATGGCCAAGTGTCGCACGGACTCGTCGTTTGAACGCTTCAGGGATGGGGACTCCACCCCTTCCTTCACCAGTGTCAAGGTCCTCTGTTTCTCTCCCCGTTCTGTGCCGTGTGTCAGCCCCAGGCTGTGCCCTGTCCCCAAACCTCTGGCTTTGGAGGGGAGCAAGGGTTGAGGGGAGAGCCCACCTGGGTTCAGTGACATTCACGAATCTCGTGAGGTTTCAGTGCGTGTTTCGGTTCTCTTTGCCAGAGAAATGAAACTGCAGATTTCCATGGAAAACCCCGGCAACAATTTGTGAGCTCGCTGTGGCAGCATCTTTTTGTCGCTATTGAAATTTTAGGAGAATTGAGAATACCAAACTGCTTTGAAAAGAGCGGTGAGAGAGCTCAGTCCCTTCAGCATTGTAGATTTAAGTGATCACAACCACCCAGTAAATATAATGAATTACAGAGACAAAAGTCTGTGCCAGGTGATCCCAGTGCCTCCAACAATGTACCAATAAAGCACCTATAGGCAAGTTCACATTTACAGCATGGGGGAAGTCAGAACAAAACAGTGTTGAACTGGAATTCCCAGAGTTATCAAAAAATTTCATCACATGAACACAAAATGATGCTCTGGACATCACAGCACTGGTTTATAACTATTAGTATAAACCAAGAATACTCAATTGAAAAGTGAAAAAAAAAAACAAAACTCTCCTGTTCCTATGCCCTTCATTAGAAACTCCTCCCTTTGAGCTGAACCAAACCTGAGCAGTGCCAGGACCATCCCTTCTGGCTGTGACCAACTTTGAGCGACCAGCCAAGAAACATGAATGTCTTGTTACCTCCTAACCTGAACACTCAGGCTGAAATTGCTTCTGTTTTGGCCAAACCCAGTTTTGAAGTGGTAATAATCCACGATAATTCCAGCATTTTAGTTTAGTTTCAAATTTGTTTCAACTGATATTAAAGACCTACTAGTGGTTTGGTTTTTTGTTTTCCCTTCCAGGCGTAACTACCGCCAAGCAGAATTTGGGGTTTTGAACCATTACCAGAGGGTGTTTTTGAAGACTTTAGTTTATCAGTATTTCTTGTAATTTTTCCTCAGATAATTTTTCCTGTTTGTTTTGGGATAATTCCAAAATCTTAGCATACTTTTCCATTTAGATGCTGATACATACTCGATTTAAATACCATTTACCCGAATCTTTATCTTGCTTTATTCATGCATTGAGACATTCATACAAGGACAGGAAGCAAGAACCTCAGAGAGGTTTATAGCTACTAGGATTTAAAATCTCTCTATCACAACCAGCCTCACCAGGACCCTCAGGCTGGTCACCAGTGTGAGCTGAATAGAAACTTTCCTCCTCAGGTTTCCAAACTGGGATGCCTTGTGAGTAACACCGGTGCTACCTTCCCCCCAAGCTGTTGCAGCATCTGCCAAATCCAGCTGGAACTGAAGCAAAACGCAGGCAGTTCTAATCCCAGGAGTTCACTTGTCTGTTAAAACAGCTTAGATTTGCTTCCAGTGTATTTAAATAGGCAGATTTTGCTATTTTAAACTGATCATCGAGGCATGTGCCTGTGTGGTTAATCAATGCCACGGCACAGCTGTGTCTGTCACACAGCAGAGCAGATGTCCCTGGGAATGTCAAACGGCATTCCCAGCGAGTGCACAGCGAGTGCCACTCTCACATAAGGACAAAAGGAGGCAAACCTTTATCATGGTCATCCAGCCAACCTCTCCAGGAGGTAGATGGAGCCAGTGCTAGGGAAAGGATCCTGAAAAGCTGCAAGGCAGCCACCTAAAACCAGCCAGGAGCAGGAAAAGAACTGATTGAACAGATCACGCAAAAAAAGCTTGAGCTGCCCTCTTGGCTGTGGCCTTGGCAGGGAATGTTTTCTCCCCTACTGTAGCGATGGTAAATCATAACTGAAGCAGCTTTTAGTAAAGTTTAGACTTGTTGGTTTGAAAGTCATATGAGACTGGCTGGTGATAAGCAGTTAGTGCAGGGCCAGTAACTGCTGGGCCCAGCTTAAGTCTCCATCGGGATGAGGAAGAGCAGGACCTGGGAAGTGCACACTGAGAGTCCAGCAGGGAGATGGAGGATCCCTGGGGACCCCCCTGACCCACAAAGCAGAGCCAGGAGATGCCAGGATTTCTCATGACCGTGTTGCAAAGGGCTCATTGTCCTCTGCATGGGGGACTCGCCCTCCTGGTCAGCTCAGCCGGCACCAGGCGGTGTCAGCCCTGCAGGCAGAACAAGGGGCTGAGCTGGTGCAGAGACCACACCACCAAACCTCCCTGCAGGGCTGTTGCTGCATCACAAGCTGCAGGTGAAGGTCCACCAGAGGGTGTCTGCCCAGGGCACCCCCAGGGGTCTGGCAGCAAGGCTGCTTATCCAGGCATTTTAAGCTGGTTAAAGGCTCAGCTGCCCAGAGGGTGCAGGAGGAAGGGCAGAGCTTTATATCCCTGTTTATGGCCATTGAGCAGGAATTTAGGATGGTTTGCTGCTGGTGTGAGCTAGAGCGTGTTCAGCCTGGGGTACTGCCCAGGAGAATGTCAGGGGCCACGCTCAGCTCCCTGCCACCACCCACAGCGGTGACGCTGAGCAGAGGAGAGGGCAGACCCAGGAAACCTTATGACTTGATGGTCTAAGCAATATCAAATCTTAGCATTTATCTTTTGTGCTGTTGATAAACTCCTTCAGGAATTTCTGATGGTTCATACGACCTTTCTGATCCATCTGCAGTTGAACATTTGGCACCTAGTTTTGTGGGTGGAAACACACAGGAGCAATCCCACAATAAATTTATAATATATTCTGGAATAAAGGGGCTATGCAAACACACAGCCCTTGGAGGGTGGAATAAAAGGATATCATAGCTCCTTTGCAACCATCTGCATAACTCATTTTCACCCTAGATACATCAAGTGATAGTCTTATTCCCCACCAGATCAAACCAGGCCATCCTTTCAGATCTTTCTTCCAATGTTTCCACAGTTTCCCCCTGTGGCAACAAAATACATGGACATGTTTTGCATACCCCTGCTTCACTGAAAAGTCCCTTTCACTTGCATTTATTGTACAAAAACATAAAACCAATTTCTTAATAGCATGATAGTTACGCAGAGTTGGACAGCTAGACACAATGCAGCACTGTGTCAATAATTTATTACATCTTATGCCATAATTGAACACTTTTACTATGAGCATTTGAGAACAACTTGGACCTTATACAGAATAATATATCTTGCTACATAATAATGGAAAGGTGGATACTTAAGAAAGATATGTAGCTTGGAGGAAAACATACATGGAAGCAAATACCTCCTGCATCACCTAGCTTCATGTAAAACTTAAAACTAAACCAACATATTATATTTAATGACTCCTTTTTTTATATATGCATAGTTTCAAGAGCTAATCAGAAAGAAATCACATTACAGTGTAACTATTTACACCAAGATGGGGGCACACCAGAACACAACCTTCTTTTCTAGACAGCGGGACTCTTTTCTTACATTTATGACTGGACAAAGCACATTGGAGTCAGACATAAATTCAGTCTCAAGAGCAATGTTCAAAGGATCAAACAGGTCATATCCACAGCTCACTGATACCTTCTTTATCCACTGCCTTGAGGCTAAAAGCAGTTGATCTAGAGGTGTAGAGGTATCATCTTCTCCGTCACGGACTTCGGTGAGAGCCAGTCTCGTGTCGCCAGCACAAGGCCTTACACCCAGCTGCATGACAGCATCCAAATGCTGCTGAAATATGCCCATGGAGACACATGCAGCAGCACTGGAATCACTGCTACGTCCTTGTAAACATACTTACCCTGGAGGTAAGAAACCTAGTTAACCTTGTTTGAGGAGAGGGTTCATGTCCAAGGTGTCGCGTTCATAACACAGTCACGCGAGTGGCTGCGCCGCTACCTGCAACCACACGACTCCACCACCATGTCCTCGTACTGCTTGTAGACCACGTTGTTTGCGGAGTCAATGAAAAGAATGCTGATGGGGCTCAGGCGGGTCGGGACGCAGCAAGTCGGGGGGGTCGATTCCGGGTCCATGGAGTTCATTAACGTCTGGATAACGGCGTGGTTGGTGGGCTC